GTAGAGTACAGGGACCCGTTTCACAAAGCCTTTTTTCAATGACAAAAAGCAGTGACGAATCTGCTGATAACCAATCAGAAGCAAGGATTTCAGCAGCTTATAACAGAAACTGTCATTTGTCACTGATGACAATTTTTGTGAAATGGGTCCCTGATCAACGAGATAGATCTCGCTCATATGACCGAATGATCCGTCAACACAATTCACGCGGGAATGATGGGCATACAGTACATGTACGTTCTAATTATTTTCATCTATACTTGACGAGGTCAAATAGACTTTCTCGCTCCAGTTGACAAGCATTGACCCAGCCTTGAGTTTGAGACCTTTTCCCACATCACCGACATTAATACTGAGGTTCACACAACACCTAAGTGAACTTTGATTGTAGGTCAATATTATGATAGTTTTATTATGATGTTAATCTTCGACATGGTCTTGTATAGTATGTTATATGGACCATGCGGTCGCACTCGCGGTTTCGCAAATTTACTAGAAGTTATAAACCACGACCGATATTAAACGCTAAGTCCACTCCAAGAATAATTTTCTTTTAATAGATGCAGAAAAACAAAAGAACAGAGGATAACATTTTATTGAAATCGGATAACTAACTATATTTGTATCCCATTAATTTCCCTTTTCATCACCCAAAACTTTTCCCCATGTCTTTGCCCAAGTTATATGATTTGTATCATATTGCATGCATGACGTTTCTCAAAATCTTTTATGTACTTTGAAGAATTGATACTATTTTCTGAATATAGATATTCACACTATGAATATGACGAACAAAGAAAGCGGACAAAATATACAGTTCCTCAGGTAGATAAAGGAACATCCCTTCACTGCTATTATGTAAAAAGGTGAATATGCATGCGACACCTGTTCTACACATTTTTAAATAATAGCCGTGAAGGGATGTTCCTTTGTGTACCTGAGGAACTGTATATTTTGTCCGCGTTCATTGTCAGTCATGTTCATAGTGTCATAATCATTGATTTTTAAATAAAAAGTTTATCAAAATTGACATTTTTCATGATTTAAATGAAGAAAAAAAAACCTCTATATTACTTAGTGCGTCCACACAAAAACATATTACTATTAATATAACTTGGATGCTGTTGTGAGGAAATAATTTTTTTAGATGAGATAAGAGAGAAAAGGAGAGAGAGAGAGAGAGATAGAGAGAGAAAGAGAGAGAGAGATATAGAGAGAGAGAGAGAGAAAGAGAGAGAAAGAGAGAGAGAGAGAGAGAGAGAAAGAGAGAGATATAGAGAGAGAGAGAGAGAAAGAGAGAGAAAGAGAGAGAGAGAGAGAAAGAGAGAGATAGAGAGAGAGAGAGAAAGAGAGAGAGAGAGAGATACAGAGAGAGAGAGAGAGAGAGAGAGAGAGAGATACAGAGAGAGAGAAAGAGAGTTATAGAGAAGGAGATGATAAAGGGCAGAATACAGATGAAACAGGGTATCTTTTAAATATTATTTTCACCTCTTTATTGACTCCATCATTATCGCGCTCAAATACAAAGAACAGAGGCAATAAACCAGTAAGACTCCTACCTCCTCCCCCCCCCCCCCCCCCCCCCCCACTCTCACTCCCCCTCACTGAGCTTATGATCTGTATCGCCGTTGGCGTCGTCATGTATCATCAAAAGAAAAATAAGATGTAAAACGATATATCAGAAGGCCCTTAACAGTTAATCAATTCATCGAGACATAAACTGATACCTTCATTCCGTTGAAAACGTAAATGAAACCGTTCAAAACAACCTAAATTACGTGAACACCATTACTTGACCGGTTCTTTGTCCAGCACGAAACTGTTTTCGTCAACGGAAAAGGTCTGTACTTACCCTATCCAGAAGAGTTTGCAAGACCTCGTTTTTTTCTCTATTGTTCTCTCTTTAATATGAAATGAAAATTTAGCCACTTTGTTGTATCGCTGAATCGTTATTCGATTTATATGTTGCAGTATAAAATAGATTCAATTCGATTCATCATCAATTTGTTAGTAGTCGTAATATTAGTAGTAGTAGTAGTAGTAGTAGTAGTAGTAGTAGTAGTAGTAGTAGTAGTGGTGGTTGTGGTGGTGGTGGTGGTGGTGGTGATGGTTGTAGGAGAAGGAGGAGGAGTAGTGGACCAAGTGATTGAGTGTGTTTGCTATTGTTTTTTTCTTCTTCATATTTGTTTGTTTTCATTTTCCCTTTTCAAAACGGGGTAGCCCCTGATTCATATTGCAGGTAGGTTAGATCTTTCTCTCCATTGTCTGCTAGAATAAAGAGTTGAGTCGATGTGAAATCAACGCTAAGCAAAATGCCCCAGGTAAGAGTAGGTATTATTGTTGACAGGATGATGTTCAGAATGTTTCTTTATCACCGAAGCCGCGGAGCACTGATCTGCCGCTAGTATTCTTTTTCGCAGGTCGACGGTAGGGTAACTGGTAAATGACGTCTTTCACGCGTCTTTCCCCAATGTATTTTATTTGTCTTCTTAACTGTAACTGTAATGAATGATACCCCGGAGTCAGATTCTGTACCGATTGCTTCTAGACAAGAGGTGTGTCTATACGGACTTTTTTTAACCTGGCTGGATTCGATTTTAACTTTTATCACGTTTTGTTATCCATAAGGAAGGATATCGAATGAGAGTAGGAGCCCTATATCACAATTTATTCGCGGTAAAATACAACACTAACTGGAATCGTAACATAAGCCCGGGTCCATACACTTTAAACCTATCCATAATTCTAAACCTAAACCCGACCTAGGTTTAAAAAAATTGTGGCCCAAACCGATAAACCTTTGACGAAATAAAGCCCGGAGCAATGGCGCCGGAGCAAATGTCGAAACACTGCCATGCGATATATTTCGCACGGTCCGGTGACTTAAAATGATATTTCGCTGTCCATATAAAATGAGATCATATCGAAGTGCTTGGAAACGCAGCGAAAGTTCACTATCCATACGGATGGCATAATTTAAGTGGCTGGCAAGGATTAATAATTATTGGATGGGCACACATGGGAAAATTGGTTGAAAGGCCTATATACGAAGGAAGAGATTTGCTTTCTGCCGCAAAAAGGAAGAGTAAAGAAAAAATTAAAGATACCTGGTAACAACGCTTCACCCTTTATGGCAGTTCTGAAAGGCAGAGCTACCGTGTGAAACGGTCCGAGACACTGCTCTCGTATGTGCCATTAAAGGCATCGTTTAACAATGTTAAATCTGAGATGCATGGCCCTACTTGTTATTAGTGTCTGTGATATGGTGTAATATTGAAGCACTAAAAAATTGCGGTTCAAAACGACCATGATCATGAAGTGCCTCAAAAAAGTAAAAAAAAATTCAGTGACCGGTTTTACCATACTCATTTTCACCAATAGACTATAGTGTTATGAAAACCGTTAGGAAAACGAAAAATGAAATTTCGATTTCCAATCATAAATATCCCTGACTGACTTAAAGGTTTATAATAATGATTGCAGCACGAGCTAAATCCAGGATTTTGTTTCAGAATCTGAGGCAATGTTACCGAGTCACTTTAAGGGGGAAGAAAAGCTATCTCAGGGAGATTGGTTGGATATAGTTGGTAGGGGGTTTTATCCGGGAATAATTGTCTCCGGAATTGTCCTAGTTAGTGAATAGGCGGGGGCAAGAGCAGTTGTTCGAGAGCGAGGGCATAGCTGTCCGAGGGCGAGCGCATAGTTTTCCGGGATAGTAGTCCGGGGGTGTTTCACAAAGACCGTAAGTTGAACTTATCTCTAAGTTTGACTTAACAATTATGGAAAGCCGTTAGCATCATTGAAAATATTTTGTAAAAGTCATTTTAAAAGGCATAAAATGTTGATCCAAATCATTCATATTGTCTATTATCGAGGAGATTTCATATTCTTGATGTGGAATTTATGAAATGTCTAAAATACTTGAATTTTTGCTTTTGAATATATTTTATTTTAAGGCTACAAATGGCTCTCCATACCATTTAAGTCCAACTTAGAGTTAAGTTTGACTTGGGATCTTTGTGAAACATCCCCCAGGAGTTTAGATGACCTAAAGTCTTATGATCTTATAGAACAGAAGTCTGTTTCGGATGACTTCACGATGACCCGTTTCGTTATCTTCAAATGTCAATCATACAAGAAATATGATGTAAAATGGATCTTGGTCGTCACGGTCAGGCTACTAAGGCACACCCTTTGTTCTGATTAGCTCGAGAAGTATTCCTTAACCTAAAGTTGGGTTCTGGTCATGCGAAATTGCGAAGTGAAAGAAACGGTGTGAAATAGATCAGAAAAGGTTGATCATCTAGCATAGCATATGAGAAGTATTGGTGTGTACTGCAAGGTTCTGGAATCATCAAAATGATTGGCCCATTCTTGGTAAAGTTACAAGCACTGTACACAGAAAGATGTAAATGGGACTACACGAACATGTGGCATAAAAATCGGCCCCGATTTGTATGCTGCTACATGCCATTTTAAGACTATGAATGCATATGAATGGCCATCATTTTCAGGGAACACTTTTTATCTGATGTTTTTTCCACGCTTGCATAATAACAATTGTGACGTTAAATTCTGCTGAAGTGACCCCAACAGTAGGCTTAAAGAAAGGACGACGACATCCAAGTTGAGATACGTGCATAAAATGCAGTTCATCTGTAATATCAATAAACAAACAAGCAATCATAAGCATGTGTACAAATTCACATGAATAAACAAACATCTATTGTATCGCACATCTAGCTTGCCATAAATGACCTTAATATGCATAACTGAGTAAAGAAAACCTTCAAGAATAAACTATGTGAGTAAAGCTCACTTGTGCAAACACAAACTGTATAACTGCCTCATTTATCTTATTCTAATGAACTGTCTCAAATTCTACCTTTGTTTACAAATATAACCCTTACAAATCATACCTCTCTATCTTGTAGGTTAACGTCATACGCAAATAAACCCTCGACCAGCCTTATTTCCTGCCTCTATCTTACACTCTTTACTTGGTTCCTGAACTAAATTCCTATTTGCTTCTACACCCTTGACATTCTTTATAACCAAGGAAAACAATTCATACTCTTTGTTTCATGTCAATTATCATCACTCATTACACACAAATCTAGATTATCCTCAACACAAACTGATATATGCACAAATTGTGCATTCACACACGTTATCCTACGTTTGTCTATATGTGGTGCTACATGCACAGACAACATTTTAACGTACTTTTCATCTTAAAATTACAGAAAACTAGATTTATATCTTGTGCCATTTTTGGCCTCATACAAACAATTAAAGATTGATTTATACAAATAACAGCTTTATAGTACTTACAACATTGGGCTTGTCTCGATTGTCGGGGATTACTGATGGAATCACTGTCCACAAAACATTTCAAATTTCGTGACTTTTAGGCTGGCGAACTACAAACGCCCTCTTACGACCAAATGAAATTATGGTTAATCTGAACCGACGTCATGACAGAAAACTTTCTAAATCTTACATCCCGGCCCCTTAAATGCGTAGCCACAGCAAAGCATTTATCCAAATAACTTCAACTTCCATTCAAATTGTCTAACTTTTCTGTTAATAAAACACAACTAAACATTCAGAATTTACACTCAACTCTGCATAGCACATTCCATTAATTTCATTTACACAATGTAGTACATTACAGTAAATGCCTTTAGGGTGAATTTATAGCCTATACACAACAAACACTTGTCGTCTAAAAATGTATACCGACAGGTCAATTAAAGTAACATTGGGCAAAACGATCAGTTGCCTTAATAGAGTACACATTAACTAAATCTCAACACAATTGTTGACACTCTGTAGCAAATAACAATAACAAGGATTGTTAAAGTCCTTGACATTCCTTACACACTTTGAGTTATCTAGTGAATTACCAAAGGAAAATACGAAATATATCAGCTCAAACATAATGATTCTACATGTACCTCTATGCACTAGAGCTGCTAACTACTCAGAACTGTGTATTTCAGTACTCGATTCTTGAAACTAAACCCCCTTTTTTGTGAGTTTTCAAGCAAAATTCAGTAGCCCACCACTAAGTACAACAGGGTTACACACAAAAAATGATTTTCAAATTCAGAAAATGGTGCTTCTGTGATTAAACTTTCTCATCATTCGCAATCTTGAGTAAATTGTCAATTTACTTCCGGTATACAAAACTTTAGTTCAACTATCCCCTTCATATCAAATATCCTCTTTTGGGTCTATGCATCAAATATCAACACAATTCGGTTCTTTAAAGTTTCAACTTGAACTAGACACTACATATTTGTATGCTCATGCATTGACCAAATAACATGTTATCATGACAAATGATTCTCATTTGTAGTGGTCAAATATTTAACTCCTGCTCTTAGGAAAAAACATGTAAGAAATTACGTATGAATATCGTTCGAACAAAAAAAAAAAAAAAAAAAAAAAAATCTTTCAGCAATAGTCTCAGTTCAATACTGAAATGAATACATGTATTCTGAAGTCCATTATAGTCTTTCTTCAAGTATTGACTAATAAACATAATATGACATAGTCTATAACAAGGCTGAAATGTTTATTACTCTTCAAGAGTAGAGTCCACTGTCCTCAAATATAACGTGCCCGATTTACCTCAAGGGCACAATGTTACCGCAAATAGTCTTGTATAAAGTCTGAGGACTGTTTTTATCAATTTCTTGCGCTTAAACAAGTTTGTTGCTGTAAACGAGTTCTGTCTTGCGTCGACGTCAGTCTAACTTGAATATGATGATCAGGATCTTTCGCTTGTCACGGATCAGGATAATCGCGACATAAAAAATTCACAAGAGGCGGCGCTAGGCTCTCACCTCGCACGTTTAATTCATCGTGCATCAAATAATTATCTCACATAAGAAATGAATGCTCCAATTAGTCGCTGTGGTTCACCAATACGCTATCTGCTTCTTCCAAAAGACATAGTTTCTGCACAGGCCTGACTAGGATACCGGTGCTATGTTTCAGCTTCACCGATCGGACGAGCTTGTCCTTCCCAGGATAGGTTTCGATTACTCTTCCCGTCAACCACTTGTTCCTCGGCAGATTGTCGATAATCAGCACGATGTCACCTTCCTCCAGATTTCTCGTCTCTTTCAGCCACTTCTGCCGCTGTTGTAAGGAAGGTAGGTATTCCTTCACCCACCTGCGCCAAAATAAGTCTGCCAGGTATTGAATCTGCCGCCAGCGTCGACGTCCATACAGATCATGTTTCTGGAACACATCAGGTGGTAGAGCATTTTTTGACCTCAGGAGCAGCAGATGATTTGGTGTGAGAGGCTCTGCATCCCTTGCGTCATCAGATGTTATGGTGAGTGGACGCCCATTGATAATTGCCTCTACTAGACACATAAGAGTCGTTAAGCCCTCATCATTCAGAACCTGCTGCTTCATGACTGCATTCAAGACCTTTCTCGTAGTTCTGATTTGTCTTTCCCATGATCCACCCATATGGGATGCTCTCGGTGGATTGAATTTCCAATCAATTCCTTGTTGAAGGAGATTATCGTGGATCTTCTCCTGGTTCCATCGTTTCAATCCCTCCCTCAGTTCACGTTCAGCACCTATGAAATTTGTACCATTGTCGGATCTGATAATCTCTGGTTGTCCTCTGCGTGAAATAAATCTCTGAAGGGCATTCAGAAATGAATCCGTCTCCAATGAATGCAGTAACTCTATGTGTATTGCTCTTATAACCAGACAAGTGAATATACATCCATATCTCTTCACAGAGCTCCTTCCTTGTCTCACCATGTATGGGCCAAAGCAGTCAACTCCCACGTTACTGAATGGAGGTTTTTCTGGTACCACTCTATCTGCCGGCAAATCTGCCATCTTCTGTTCCACTGGTTTTGCACGTTGACGTTTACATGTGAAACACTTGTGTAGTACATGACGAACTGCTAACCTCCCTCTGATTATCCAAAATCGTTGTCTGAGTAGGGATAGCACATACTCCTTCCCTGAGTGACCACACATAATGTGGTAATGTCTCACCAAAAGCTGTACTACATGATGCTTGGAAGGCAAAATCACTGGGTGTTTTGTCTGCTCTTCTAGTGGTGCATTGTGTAGTCTTCCTCCAACACATATCAATCCTTCGTCTGTGAGTTTCACGCTCAATTTAGATAGTGGGCTGGATTTTGCTATTCGAGTGGGTGACCGTTGTGCAGTCTTATTTTGCTGTAAGACTCTGTACTCCTCAGCATAGGTCTGTTGCTGAACGTATCTGACAATTGCTTCTTCAGCTACAGTCATCTCATCAACTGTTACTGGCTGCTTCATATCCAGTAAATTCATATCTTTGCGTGCCTTTCTTCTCAAGCACTCCTTGACCTTCAGGATCCATGCAATACCTTTCTTCAGCCGGAACCAGGACGAGTAACTTTCAAGGAGTCTATCTGTCGCCTTGACTTCAGATTCGGCTGCAGCAAACACTCCAGTCTTGTCTTGCTTTACCTCTGGGTCATGCTCTAAGCTAGACTCATTCACTGTCAAGCTTTTAGGCCAATCGCATTCTTCTGACCACAAAAATTTTGGCCCTTCTTTCCATCGTCCAGTCAATTCCTCAGCTGTCAGTCCACGCGAGGCATCATCGGCTGGATTGACATCAGTGTTAACATGTCGCCACTGCCTTGGTTCAGATCCCTCATGAATGGTTGTAATTCTGTTTGCTACAAACGTATGGAAACGTTTATCCTCATTCTTCACATAATGAAGTACTATTGAACTGTCAGTCCAAAACACTGACTCTTGGAGCGGCAGATCCAATTCCCGTTGTATCATACTGTCTATAGTGACAGAGAGTGTAGCCGCCATCAGTTCAAGCCGTGGGATTGTCATCCTCTTCAGGGGTGCAAGACGTGACCTTGCAAATAGTATGCTGCAGTGCACCTGACCCTCAACATCCTTCATCCGCAGGTAGGAAACGACTCCATAGGCTTTCTCTGAAGCATCTGCAAAGTGATGTAGCTTATACTCTGCTACCTTGCCAAAGTCGTGTGGTTTGATGCATCTGTTGACCTGGAATTCAGTCATCTTGGGTAGTTCCTGTAACCATTCATTCCATCTCTCTATTTCCTTGCTTGGAATCTCCTCATCCCATGCAAGTTTAAGTCTGGTTAGTTCCTGCAAGATCATCTTAGCCTTTAGGATGAAAGGACTGGCGTAACCGAGAGGGTCGTAGATGGAAGATACAACACTCAAGATACCCCTCCTGGTTTGGGGTTTGTCCTTGGGTCTAAATTTGTACAGCAAACAATCAGTTTCTACATCCCAGCTGATTCCAAGTGCTCTCTCGACTGGAAGAGCATCATGATTGAGATCCAGACCCCTCACATCTTTAGCTCTCTCTTCTTCTGGTATGGATTGCAGGACAAATGGGTTGTTACTGACCCATTTGGTTAATCTGAAGCCTCCTTCACTGAGCAAGACCATCAAGTCCGCAGCAAGTTTCACCGCTGTTTCTTCATTCTCAACTGACACCAGGCAGTCGTCCACATAGAAGTTCTCGAGAATGGCCTTAGATGCTTCCACTTTACCATTACCATCACCGTTTCTTGCTGTCTGACGAAGTGCATGGCTGCACACACTTGGGCTCCACGTACCTCCGAAGAGGTGGACGCACATCCGGTAGACCAGCGGTTCCTTGTTGAAGTCTCCGTCCTTCCACCACAAGAATCTCAACACGTCTCGATCTTCTGGAGGTACCCTCACTTGGTGGAACATTGCCTCTATATCTGACATGAGTGCTACTGGTTGCTGGCGGAATCTAAGCAAAACTCCCATCAAATTGTTGATAAGGTCCGGCCCCTGTAACACTGCATCATTCAAAGATACCCCTTGGTGCTTGGCCGCACAATCGAACACGATTCGCATCTTGTCTGGTTTTTGGGGATTCAAGACTGGATGGTGGGGCAAATACCAAACAGGGGTGTCCTTGGGTTGCCTAGTCTCCTCACTAACTTCCTCTGCATAGCCTTTCCTGAGGAGATCCTCTATGCCCTGTTTGTATTTCACATACATTGCTTGATCTCTTTGCAATCTCCTTGCCAACGATTTCAAACGCTGTTCTGCACTCCACTTGTTATCAGGCAAGTTAGGTGGTCTCCTTCTGAAGGGCACCGGTAGTTGGAAATGTGCACCTTCCCGCTGGATGTCCCTCTCCCATATTTCCATTACCTTCTTGTCATTGACTGACACTGCCTTGTCTTTCTTAAGCACATCTGTAGCTTCGATCTTCCAGAATTGGCTGACTTGTTCCTCCAGTATATCATTACTGTCAATGAAGCTAGATGTAGCTTTGGGTACACCATCTGAACTGGAACCTACAGGTCCACTCACTGACCAACCCAATTTGGTCCTAACAGCATAAGGGCCATGCTGTCCTCGTCTCACCTCGATAGGTATCAAGGCTTCAGGTGAATCCTGCCCTATCAACAGTCCAACTTCATGTCGTTCAATGATCGGGAGGTTGATTCCTTCTAAGTGATGATATCCTGAAATGTCATCCACATTGGCAATGTGTGTGTCTCTGATATTAATGGCGTCTCTGGTATACACACAGGGTAGCTTCACACAGTCTGTATCTGGTCCCGTGTCTGCAATCAGACTAATCACTGAGGTCTCTATGGGGCTATTACGCTTCTCCAGTGTTGTCAGGCTTAAACTTTGCTTCCTTCCAGTAGCATTGAGTTCTCTGGCCAAAGTGGCTGTACAAAATGTACTGGTTGAACCAGAATCCAACAGTGCATATGTATTCACAAATACATTCTCTCCTTGAGCTCTAACCCTCACTGGAACAATGGGAAGCACACACCTTCCGGCCCCTGTGACACACTTCTTAACGAACCCATTCTGGACTTGATGGACTTCGTTGTTCTGGGTTTCAACTGGAGCCTGTGTCGTTGTCATCCTTCCTGCAGATGAAGATGCATCCTGTGCAAAATGGAGAAATTTTGTGTGTTTTCTCTGGCATCCTTGTACTGAGCATCTTCTATTCAATCTGCAAAACCTACTGGTGTGGCCAGATTGCAGGCAGTTGAAACATAGTCTGTTGTCCTGAGCAAACTGAAATCTCATCTCGGGTGCCATGGATTTAAAACTGTCGCACCCAAACAAGGAATGTTCTTGCCTACACTTCAGGCACTTCAGGTTGACTGCTACTTCTGTTACCTCTGTAGCGTACATGTAGTTACTTCTTGTACTCTTCTTGTTGAAAGCTGGGTTTGAAGTTTCAACTCTTTTTGTTGTTGCTGTCAGATCTCCAAAGACAGGATCATTGGCTTCCTCAGCAGCGTTGGAGACAAACCTTGCCATGTCCGAGATATCGGGAGAACGCTCCTGCTGTCTGATGTCTCTCACCAACTTTAACCATCTACCTTTAAGGTAATATGGAAGTCTCTCAGCCACCTTCAGCAACTCTCTCTGACTACTAATTTCCTGCAGTAGATCCATTGCTCGAAGAGTTTCCATGCTGATCTTCAACTCATCTGCAAACTTCTGCAGCCCCTTCCGGTCATTCGCATGGCAGATTGGACCAGTGGTTATACGTTTGATCCAGGCTTCTCCTATCTTGTACTTGCTGCCAAAGCGTTCCACCAACAGCTCTCTGGCTCGTTGGTACCCATACAGTGGTTCCATGACCATACAGCACTGTATGATGCCCTTAACTTCTCCTTCACAGCAATGATATAACTTCATAAGTTTTGTCCCACTATCGAGTGAAGATCGACCAATTAAGTTGTCGAACGACATCATAAATTCATGGAAGTGCAAAGGACTCCCATCAAACTTCATCATCTCTACATTAGCCAGACTGATAGCTTCCAACCATCGTTGTTGCTGAACTTGGGTCTGCAGATAAAATTCTCGGTCGTCTCGTGGTTGATAAGCTTGACCTGAAATGGGAGATGAAGCCATTTGCTGAGCTGGAAAAGGAATAGTCTCTTGTAGGAGCGCAGGTTCCTTGACATCATGATTGCTGACATGATGATGATGTTCCGTAGCATGCTCTGCACTTTCATGCACCTGCTTGACATTCTGCTGACTGGAACTCCTATTCCCTATACTCGACACCTTACTGCCACTCCTGTGTTGCTCATACACGTCTTCTTCTGCCTCTGCTGCGCTGAGCTTGGCACGTAAGAGTAACTTAGCCTTCCTTTGCTTAAGGCGTATTTCTTCGAGTTCTATCTCTTGTTCTTCCTGAAGAACTGCTAATTCTGCTGCTATTGCAGCCCTCTTGGCCCTGGTCCTAAGTCCAGATGACGTGGTGGAACTCTTCCCAACCTGACTTGCAGAATCCTCTGGATTGACATCATCAACACCTACTTGACTCATGGTGACGAATGCTAAAGCTGTTATGAACTTTGTGTGACGTTAAATTCTGCTGAAGTGACCCCAACAGTAGGCTTAAAGAAAGGACGACGACATCCAAGTTGAGATACGTGCATAAAATGCAGTTCATCTGTAATATCAATAAACAAACAAGCAATCATAAGCATGTGTACAAATTCACATGAATAAACAAACATCTATTGTATCGCACATCTAGCTTGCCATAAATGACCTTAATATGCATAACTGAGTAAAGAAAACCTTCAAGAATAAACTATGTGAGTAAAGCTCACTTGTGCAAACATAAACTGTATAACTGCCTCATTTATCTTATTCTAATGAACTGTCTCAAATTCTACCTTTGTTTACAAATATAACCCTTACAAATCATACCTCTCTATCTTGTAGGTTAACGTCATACGCAAATAAACCCTCGACCAGCCTTATTTCCTGCCTCTATCTTACACTCTTTACTTGGTTCCTGAACTAAATTCCTATTTGCTTCTACACCCTTGACATTCTTTATAACCAAGGAAAACAATTCATACTCTTTGTTTCATGTCAATTATCATCACTCATTACACACAAATCTAGATTATCCTCAACACAAACTGATATATGCACAAATTGTGCATTCACACACGTTATCCTACGTTTGTCTATATGTGGTGCTACATGCACAGACAACATTTTAACGTACTTTTCATCTTAAAATTACAGAAAACTAGATTTATATCTTGTGCCATTTTTGGCCTCATACAAACAATTAAAGATTGATTTATACAAATAACAGCTTTATAGTACTTACAACATTGGGCTTGTCTCGATTGTCGGGGATTACTGATGGAATCACTGTCCACAAAACATTTCAAATTTCGTGACTTTTAGGCTGGCGAACTACAAACGCCCTCTTACGACCAAATGAAATTATGGTTAATCTGAACCGACGTCATGACAGAAAACTTTCTAAATCTTACAACAATGATAACGCTCACAAATTATTTTTCACCTCTTCCCAGAACTCAACCATCTCTATAACTTCCATTGTGAAATTGCGACAGTAACTACAACTGACGATCATGACTAGACAAATCAAGTACATATGTAAATGTAAAATGAGAGAATAGAGATGGGTGAATATTTTATTGAAAGCAACAGGCAAGCCGTAAAGTTAAGCACTCTCAGTCACCATTTTATGTACATTAACGAATAAATACATATATATATATATATAAAGACATTTGCAATTGACATTACTAGATAGCGTGCTCCCCCCCCCCCCCCCCCCCTCCCCCTTTCCTTTCTAGACAGAACGAACTTTTTATTTCAAGTTGCCTAAACTTTCAGATTAATCAATACGAACACATTCGAGAATCATTCTTTTTGACAAAAAGGAAGGATGCCTTCTCTTTTTTATCTGGTAAGAACCGCCAGTCTTCGATTATTAAGCAGTCACTTTGGCTAGCTTCTTCTATTCTTGAAACGCAGGAGACGTATACAATTCTTTTCCCTCGAGACCACTTTAATACTGAAGGCATTGTATTACCACAAGTTCACGAACGATTGAACATGTTCTGCGATGTTCATGTCTAATCAACAGAGACCAATATTACCTAAGATATTAGCTATCACCTCTCTTTTTCCCCTCTCTCTCTCTCTCTCTCTCTCTCTCTATCTCTATCTCCATCTCTCTTTCCCCCTCTTCCACTCCCTCCCCCCTCTCTCTCTCTCTCTCTCTCTCTCTCTTTCCCCATCTTCTCTTTTCTCTTTCCCAATCTTCTCTTCTCTCTCTTTCTCTCTCTCTCTCTCTCTCTCTCTCTCTCTTATCTCTATCTCCATCTCTCTTTCCCCCTCTTCCACTCCCTCCCCCCTCTCTCTCTCTCTCTCTCTCTCTCTCTCTATCTTAGCAGCTTTAAACGTTCAAATTTGCTTATATTTGTTCTGCCTAATTAGTGATCATGTTACCAACTACGTGAGGATCATGCATGACATATTTTGACAGAGGAGGATTTTTATTGCATAAAATTCCAGCCACTCCCCCATGCAGTGCGAGGGCAATTTAGATTCAGATGCCCCCCCCCCCCCCCCGCTTCCCCGTAGTGCTCAAAGAAATAACGTGCTTCAAAATTTAGTCGAAACTTTAAAAAATATTTTATAGTCCATTTCAAAAATATAAAATACAAACATTTAAAACTAACAAGCTCTAACTCTTCGTAGAATTTTAAAATATGGGGACAACTACGGGTCATTTACCCCATTTCAACGCTTTTTCCGTAATATTTTTGTTAGGCCTTCACATTCCTCCCATTAATATCTAAATGCCAATAGGACGAGACGCAAATATAACTGACATATTACCAAGAGTAAATAAAATACACAGGTACGATTCAAATATCTGCTGTTTTCTTCTTTTTGAACCCCCTCCCCCCCCCCCCCCATTCCTTTATCCCGGTTTAAAATATATTTGCCCCTATTCATAATAGAAATGCCAATCGAAGCCGAGACGTAGAATCGTGTCAATAATATATCTGTGCCAATGTCACGTACCAGATGCAGAATCGACACCGATCATCATCGACTGGGGGTTGCACACCCATTCTTAAAGATAAGTTAGTCATCTAGTCATGCAGCTACATTTTGATAGAAACTGCATGGAAGCGAATGGAGAAAAAAGAAAGTTGGTTATCTGGTAAATAAGAATCGATTCGTACTTGGAGGTTTTGGAATCGTCGATGTGATAAGAAATTGACACAGTTTTGCCAAAATAGTCACATGCACAGATGCACTGTACACACAAATGCATGTATTGGACTACACCAAAATATGAGGCATGACAGTCTCTCTTCAGACTTCAAATGATGAGGTTAAAGAGCAATCCTTTTAAATGGCACTTTTGTCAATGTGTTTTTCTTCTCCACATCAACATAAGAATAATGAAAAAGCTCGAAACTTATTCTTCACCTTTTGCCAGAAGCTAACCTTCTCTTTAATAGTATAAGTCATCAGGAAAGGAAATAGGTCGGAAATAATGGATGGGGGTTAATAAAGGTGCTTTATGATTCTCCATGGGCATCACATCGCATTGGAAGACGAGAAAGTAATCAACTGATCCTGACTGGAATAAATATCGGATCTCCACCTGATGCGATGGTCCATCCCAAGGCTTGTAACGGGGGGAGGGGCAAGAGACGCAATGATCACTAGCGCGCAATGTATATATGACGCAGGCACACGAGGCGTCCTTTCGATTGCGCTATTTCTTGCGTCAATCAAGCCTAGAAGGACAATAAGTACATGTAGACGTATTTCAATGCAAGTTTTTCATGGTTCATTTTCTGTCACATTTTCGGCGATCTTCTCTCTTACGTATCGCATTGTATATTAATTACAAAAAATGCCAGTTGGTGACGCAGCCCTACGCCACCATAATGACGCTTCTCGTTGAATGAGCAAAAGCATGGTACGGTGCATACAGTCATAATCAAGTGATTATTCTGTTATGTGTGCGGTTGTGTATGTGGGTGTGTGTGTCTTTGTAATTGGGTTTTGACACACGTTTATCAATCAGATATGATTAATTACGTCTTGGGACAGACCTTTACCGTCATAATCCGAAATACGTGACTTAATTTCAAACCGAGGCCCGTCTTAATCAGTTGGTAGGCGAAGACAGAGAGCTAACAAAGAGAACGTACGGCTAGACCAACTCACATCTCTTTTTTGGGTGCTTGCCCTCAATACGGCCTATTATAAACACCCATTAATCGAGCCAAGAGAACACAATAATTCAATCCAAATCAGAAGGGTCTGTAACAAATGATCTAATTTTGTATTCATTATGTTCAATCATCTATGTAACCTGGTGTGTTGGCTCAGTCAGTAGAGCGTCCGCCTCACAACCGGGAGGTCGTGGGTTCGAACCCCGGCCGCGTCATACCAAATGACGTTAAAAGACGGGAGGTGCTGCTACCTTGTTTGGCGTTCAACAATAATTAATAGAGCAACGTCGGTCTGGCGCTGCTCAGTGGCTGCCGGGCTCACGATCAATTGGGCAAAAAGAATTTCCATTTTCGGTTTAATTTAATAAGATTATCATTATCATCACGTTTTTAAATTCAGTTTGATCTGAATATAGAGATGAAGAAGAAATAAACGTTCGTGGCCGTGCCAATATTCTTTTTATCGGACAAAATAGGACCAGTAAAACCAATTAAGAACATACAAGTCAATTAGATTGTAGACAAAACGAGTATTAAACAAATAAGAATTAGACTCAATGAATAATAAACTCAAATGGACATTCAAGTTTTTAGTTATTTGTTTCACATTTCACAAAACAGAATTTCACATAAATGACAAAATTAGAACATAATATAAAATATACTCAAAGTATGACATTATACAATCAACTCTCTTTAAAGACGTCGAAATTTATTGTATTAAATGGTAGGTTAAACATTAAACGAACTGCTAAGTGTACAAAATGGAAAGTGGGTGAAATGAACACGAGTTCACAAAAAGAATAGACGAAGTGGATATTGAACAAATCCTTGAAAAAAATTAGAATTTGATGAATTGTTATTGGACCAAATTAGACCTTCAAAAATATGGGTCAGGACTAATTTAATTTAATAATTTGAAAGATACAAAAAGGAATTTCTTTTCCCACTGCACTTCCTGATGTAATTCATGGACAAGACAGATGGCTCTCCAAGGCCGGATAAATTCGTCAGTTTCAGCAAATTTAGGTGATGCCCTCTGTCTTTTAGCCATTGTCATGGTAACGACGCTATCGTGAGGCTTTTAGGGCAGGAGCAAAATCAATTTCAAATCATATTTCTGGCAGGGGTGTCGAATACGTCAGGAAAACAAAGCGCAGTGTATAGAGCTACGGGCCCTTGAGAGTAACATCTTGTGTTGAAGTAATTTTTGCTCTCTTGCAATGTTTAAACTTTTTTTTAAGGTAAAACAAAGAATTCCGTCGTGTTAACCTACTACTTTGACATAAAAGGACTATACGGTCGACGGGGGAAATGTAGCATGCATTTATGTTCACCGTAAACTAGTTTGTTTATTGGTGAGCGGTATACATTTCAAAGTTTGTTGGCGTTTGAAAACTTATGACTGCAGGGAAACAAACGTGATGAACTGAGACGAAAATACCCGACGGACTTGCTATAAAATGGGATCAATGATTGATGATAAGATCCATAGGAACCCCACCCCCGCAGTAATTAACAAAATAATTTCACGATTCTTCAATTGTCCGCAAATTGTCCTCGGATGTCCAGATAATGTGTCCATCTTCCTTCGAAACCGTCAAGCGTACACAGTTTAATGAGGACGAGTCAACTCAGCATGGGAATAACACGCCGTCAGAATAGCGAATTTTACCTCAGTCATACCGCCAACCGACTCCACTGACACCGATTCCAAACGAAGCGATTTTTTTCCAATTCGGAGTCTGGGGTCGGTATTGTTGGTATGAATCGTGATTATATAGTAGGAACTTTTAGAGTCTGCACGACGAGAACGTGGACTGCCCTTTTGAAGGCAATGTGACGTCCTTTTAAGGCACTGGCAGTGACGTCACATTGCCTTAAAAGGGCAGTTCGCGTTTTCGTCGTGCAGAATCTAAAAGTCCCTAATACCTTAGTAACAACGCCGAGTAGCTAGACTCTACAATGATTCAAATCCAACCCGTTCTTTTCCATGTTTTCCATACGACGTATTCGAGAGAATGTAATATTTTTTTCGGTCTGCTGTCAGTCTTGTATCGGTCTTGTCTGTGTGGCTGGGGGTATCACAGATGGAACAGTGAATCGTAACCGTGTCATTTGCATGTGCGGTAGGCTATAAATCTCTTTTCAAAGAAAAGGATAAACAAAATGACTGTAAATGAGTATTTGTCTCACGGGCAATGACTGCAAGAGTGAATCATTATCATTAATGCGCCATCAACGGCAGATTGACCTTTACCTCC